CGGCATTTAATTAAGAGACAGACGGGTCCTTGGCAGTAAACCGGCACAGACAAGCTTGGGCAGCAATAAACACAGATAAGGCTTGGCAGCAATCCAGCCTGCCAAGCTCACAATAATGTCCTCCGACATTCAATCCTGCATTGACTTCTGCAAAGAGGGGTGTGTGCACAAGAAGTCTTTTTATAGTCTGGAGAGGAGCCTAATAACCACCAGCTGAGTGCAATTACCTCCTGTAACTGGGCAACTGTTCCTGATGCCTAGTAGCTCTTCGATGGTGTGCATCCAGGAACAACTCACTACTGGCATCCGGCTTACTCTCCCTTGTCTCCTACCCACTGGTTCAAGGCTCAGGTGCCTCCGGGTGGCCAACCAGCCTCTCTGCGCCCTGCTCGAAGTCGGAACCCTGTCCAGGGTCCTCCACATCCTCCAGAGCCAACTCATTGGGCCCCTCGCTGTCGGAGTCTGGTGGCAGCTCCAATGGCTCCTGCTAGGCCACAACAGATCAGTATTGGTGAACTGATGGCACATGTGCCAGAAGTAGCATGCAGAGCCATCTCTCCGGGCACGCCAGCCATTGCCTATTGCTTTTCCGGGTTCCAGCATGCACATATGCACTGACCAGCTGGTCCTGGCACCAGAAAGCAGAAGACCAGGTGACCAGTGCAAATGCCAGAAACCGGAAGCTCAGCTTCCTGGCGCACGTATGTGCCCGGCTCACGTGCATGCTGGGGAGCTGCTCTTCTGGTTTCTGGCGCTCCCCTGCACACGCACGCTCACGTTTCGGCACTCAGTGCCGAAAAGGTTCACCAACACTGCCCTAGATTGTGCAGGAGGGTCTGTTTTGGGCAGTGCAGCCTCATCCAGCACCAGAGATGGTATTATTTCTAGAACCAAGGTCCCTAAAACCCAAAACTACTGAATCTTGCCATGGTTCAGCTGAAGCCTGTTGTTCCCCATCCAGACAGTCTTCACATGCTGAGATCGGACATCCACAGCATCACTTAATTCTCCAGGAGCAGAAATATACAGTTAGATCCCCATGGCATCGGAGAGAGCACCGATCTGTGTGGCACCCCATATAAGTAGTCCTCCAACCAACCCCAATTGAGGCCAGAATTTCTGTTCTTAAATAAGAGAGTTATTAAATGAGGCACACCAAATTTGATAACACCAAATTTGATAATTTTTTTGCTGTGGTTGTTAAGTGAATCACTGCAGTGGTGAAATGAATCATGCCGTCCTTAAGTGAATCCTGTTTAACACCCCCCCTGACTTTGCTTGCTAAAAGCTGACTGGGAAGGTTATAAACCGCAATCCCGTGACACCAGGATGCTGCAACCGTCATAAATGCAAGCCAGTTGCCAAGCATCTGACTTTCAGTCACATGACTCCGGGGATGCAGCAAAGGTCGTAAGCGTGAGGATCAGACATAAGACATTTTTTTCAGTGCTGTTGTAACTTTGAACGGTCACTAAATGAATGTTGTAAGTCGAGGACTACCTGTCATGGGGGCGGGATCTCTCTCCTCCAATCACCACCAATTGGGACCAATCCTGCAGAGAGGAGGTGAGCGAGCACAACGCCCACAATCCTGGGAATCGATCCAGAAGGATACCATTTTATGTTCTTAGGAGGGGAAAGAAATGTTTGCATGCACCAATCGGATTCAGGCAGAAATTAAAGTGTGAGGAGTTTTGGAGGCAGAAATAGAACAGCTGATGCATTTTTTTTTCAAATTCTCAAATATGCCCATCCACTCATTCACACATACTTACATCATCTTGGTCTCGCATAGCATTCAGCCGTTCCAGCTCCTTGACCCAATAGCGAGCCTCTTCTTCGGGAATATCTGCAAGAAGGGGGAAAAAGTGGGATATTTTTCAGGTTAATGGAAAAAGCAAAATCAAGTGGCCCAGGGTTTTTTGGTGGGTTTTTTTTGACCCACCTAGTATTCTTAGTGGACAAACAGCTAAATATGAGCCAGCAGTGTGCAGCAGCAGCCAAAAAAGCTAATGCAATCCTAAATTGCATTAACAGAGATATACAATCAAGATCAATTGAGCTACTAATACCACTTTATAAAGCCTGAATAAGACCAGATTCAGATTCAGATTCAGATTTAGTTTATTTGTATGCTGCCCTTCTCCGGGAGGGACTCAGGGCGGCGAACAACTCAAAGGGGGAAAGGGGACATAAAACATAATACACGCAATTACACAAGAATCATACAGTCATACAAGTCGAGAGGGGAGGGGAACATCAACCCCAGGCTTGCCAGCATCCATCTATCTATCTATCTATCTATCTATCTATCTATCTATCTATCTATCTATCTATC